TTTTTAATTAAAAAGATGACCAGTAAGGGGATCTTAACCCTTGACTTGGTGTTGTCAGCACCACGCTCACCCAAGTGAGCGAACCGGCTGTCCCTATATAGGGATCCAAACTTGTGTTATCAGCACCACACTCTCTCAAGTGAGCTATGGGCCAGCCCACTGAAAAATATTTGAGCAAAGACCCGAAGGAGGTGAGGGAGGAACCGTCAGGGTACCTGGGGAAGAGTATCCCAGGCAGAGGGAACAGCCAGTGCAAAGGCTCAGATGTCGGACTGTGCCTGGTGTGTTTAGGGGACGTTCAAGGGAACAGTGGCTGGAGCAGAGCCAGCGAGGGGAAGGGGGGTCACAGAGGGACAAATGGGGGGCCACATCAGGATATAAGTAGTCCCCTCACCTCTTTATCAGCCATGTGGCTTTCAGTGCATGCAGAGAGCATCTTTTTTTTTTTTTTTTTTTTAAAAGATGACTGATAAGGGGATCTTAACCCTTAACTTGGTGTTGTCAGCACCACGCTCTCCAAGTGAGCTAACCGGCCATCCCTATATAGGGATCCGAACCCATGTCCTTGGCGTAATCAGCACCACACTCTCCCAAGTGAGCCACAGGCCGGCCCTGAGAGTATCATTTATTTAACCAACTCCCAAGTAATGAGCATCTAGGTCATTTCCTGTCCCCTTTTGTAAACAACACTGAAGCTAACATCTTGCACACACATCTTCTGTTTTTATGGGTTCCCAGGGCTCTGCTGGCCCAAGAGGGGAGGCTGGAGCTGGGGCAGAAAGACTTTCTTTTCTAGAAAGAATGGAGACAGCAGCCCTGCCTCACCACAAGCTTACTTCTCCCCTCACCCCAGGTTGCCCATCCTGGAGACAGCCTTTCCAGCCGGAGAACCTCACCCCAACCCACTGGACTCCATCATGAGCAACCACTTCCCCCGCTGGTTCATCCTCGGCCACCTGGAGACCCGCCAGTGTGAACTGGCCTCCACCATGCTGACGGCCGCCAAGGGTAAGGGTGGTGGCTGTCCCCGTTCCCCATCTCCCTCTCCTTCCTTTCCCTCTTGCCTTTCCTACCTCCTTTTAGACTATTCCCAAGTTCTACCAGTAGTCCTTGAGCACCTTCAGTATGCACCTGGCACTGTCTCAGGTGCTGGGGATTTAGCAGGTGCCAAAACTGTCCCAAATGCCCTGCCCTGTGGTGTTACGGTCTAGTGGGAGAAGACAGACAATAGACAAGGTGGAGAAGAGAGTGATGCAGTAAATGAGAAGGAAATAAGTGCTACAGAAGGGAATAAAGCAGGTGAACGTTTAACCAAAGACCTAAAGGTGAGGGCGGAACCATGCAGATATCTGGCATCTTCATCAGCTCAGGCTGCCATAATAACATACCATAGGCTGGGCGACTTAAGCAACAGAAACTTATTTTCTCACAGCTCTGGTGGCTGGAAGTCTGAGATCAGGTGGCAGCATGGTCAATTCTGATGAGGACTTTCTTCCTGGCTTGCAGACGGCCACCTTTCTGCTGTCCTCATATCATGGGGGTGGAGAGAGAGAGAGAGAGAGAGAGGGAGAGAGAAAGCTCTTGGGTGTATCTTATAGGGGCACTAATATCCTCATGAGGGTCCCATCCTCATGACTTCATCTAACCCTAATTATCTCCCAAAGGCCCCATCTCCAAATACCATTATCACATTGGGGGTTAAAGCTTCAATGTATGAATATGGGGGAGGGGAAGAAGGATGGACACTATTCAGTTCATGGCATCTGGGAAGAGCATTCCAGGCAGAGGGAACAGCCAGTGCAAAGGCCCTGAGGCTGGACCATGCCTGTTATATTTGAGGAACAAAGAGGAGGCCAGTGTGACTGGATCCAAGAGAGGATGAATGATAGGGTCTGGACCAATGATAGTAATAGTCATAATGGTTAACATTTGTGTAGCCCCTTGCTATGTTAATGCCTGTCCCAGCTCTGAGAGGCAGGTACCATTGCCTTAGTATTATCCATTTTACAGATGGGGCAGCCAAGGCACAGAGAGGTCAAGTGACTGGCTCAGGGTCACACAGCTAGTGCATGGCAGGGCAGGGGTTTGAACCCTGGCATTCTGGATCCAGAATCAATGCCCTTGATGACTAGGTATCCAGTGGGTCCCTAGATGGCTACCTCCTGCTGGAACAGAGGAGGGGGAAAGTGGAGGAAAAGGAGAGAACTGGCAGGTCGGGGGGAGGGCACTGAGGGTCTCAGTCTTCATAGAACCATTGCCTGGTGCATCTTTCTCCACATTCAGACATGCACAAGCCTCTGGGTTGAGGAACCTATATGAACAAGTTGTGCAGCTACAGGGACTGGTGCTGGGGTGTATCCAATGGTTTCCTCTGTCCCTTCCTCCACCCAGGAGACCCCAAATGGCTGCATGCTGTACTGGGTTCCATCCAGCAGAACATCCACTCGCCAGCCTTGCTCTTCAAGCTGGCTCAGGATGCCTGCAAGACAGCCACCCCAGCCAACGCACCGCCAGACACCACACTGCTGGGCATCGCACTGGAGCTGGGCCTGCAGGTGAGGACCGCCAGGTGGATGAAGGAGGGCGATGCTGCCTCAGCGCGTGGCCTGAGTGAGCCCCACCTCGCACTGGGGGATGGGGCCTGAGGGTTAACTTCGCCTTTGGCATGTGCCTGGGCCACAAAAAGGAGCAGAGCCTTTGGCTGGGGCCTGGGGCTGATGTATTATTGGTTAAGGACCATGGGTGGGCATGGTTGAAGCAGAGGGTGGGAGCAGAGCCTACCAATAAAGAGCTTACTTGGGGGCGGGGCCTGGGTATGGACCTAGGGAGCGGGGGCCTCAGAGGGTGGCAAAAATTCAATAAGAAAATAAGGAACAGCTCTGGGCCAGCTTGCAGGATGGCGTGAGGCCTTCCTAGGTAAAACAGGTAAGCTAGGGGCCCGCAGAGGCAGAATTGGCCCTGGACAGTCTCCTATGCGGGGGTGAAGCCACTGTGGCCGGGGAAGACAAGGACGGAGCTTTAGAGAAGGGACCCATTTCTTAAGAACTTGCAGAAGGCAGGGTCCATAAGGCAGGAGCTGGGGGCGGGGCCTCAGGGGAGAGGCCTGCAGTGTAGGGTGCTTATTGGGGGTGCGATCTGAAGGTGGGGCTGGAGGGCAGTTGCTTTGTTTAGGGCTCCAGTGGGGAATCTGCTGATGTGAAGCATGGAATTTGGGGGAGAGAGGGGACAAGTTGGTTTGTTCCAGTGTTAAGATCCATGGGAAAGGATCCCTTGGGCCTGACCTCAGAATATTACCAACAATAGCAGCAATAGTAATGGCTGATGTTGGGGCTGGCTGGTTTGAGTTGGTTAAAGCATGGTGCTGATAACACCAAAGTCCAGGGATGGATCCCTGTACCGAACAACCACCAAAATAAATAAATAAATAAAGTAATGGCTGATGTTAACTGAGTACTTTCAAGCAACCCTGTGCCTTTACCTGTGTAATTTTATTTAATTCTCACCATATGCCTGTGAGGTAGATACTATATTTATCACCAATTTATAGATGGGGAAACTGAAGCCCAAAAAGATGAGGTCACTTGCTGATGTTCATTGGATCAGCCTTTAACCTCCCAGCCTTTCTGGACCCCACAGGCTCTCAACCCTTTTCTGTAGGCCAGCACAAGACACTAGGTGACCCTCTTTCCTCCCCCTCCCACCCTGCAGGTGATGCGGATGACCCTGAACACCATGACCTGGCGGCGGAGGGAGATGGTGCGCTGGCTGGTCAGCTGTGCCACGGAGATCGGTGAGAGCCCCCACAGGGACCCATTGCCACCTCCCTGTTCTGGTTCTGCAGGTGCCACTGATGAGAGAGAAGACTTTCCCCTGATTCCAGCCTGTGCTCAGAGCTAGGCTGGGAGGGAATATCGGGCCAAGGGATGCAGCTAGACAAAGGCCTGGAGGCTGGTCAGGTTTAAGTGGCTGGGGGAGGGCTGGCCAGTTGGCTCAGTTGGTTGGAGCACGGTGTTATAACACCAAAGTCAAGGGTTTGGATCCCTCTACCAGCCAGCTGCCAAAATAAATAAGTAAATATATAAAGTGGCTGGGGAAGAGCAGGAGGACTCCGAAGCTTTAGCCCTCCCACCCCGCCACACAGAGTTCTTATCCAGTCCAGCTGTCCCAATCCTTTGTAAAGATAAAACGAAGTCTCCATCCAGCATGGTGTAGAGGTCGAGGGGGTTTCTCTTCAGCCCTGGCTGGTGGAGGAGGATGGCAGGGGAGGGGTAAGCCCACCTACATGTCTCTGCCCCTCCTCTGATCAGTTTCTCACCTCCCACCAGGCCCACAAGCCCTGATGAATATCATGCAAAACTGGTACTCCTTATTCACACCGGTGGAGGCGGCCACCATCGTGGCAGTGACAGGTACCACGCATGCCACACTGCTACGGCTGCAGTTGGACACGCCCCAGCGGGAGGAGCTCTGGGCCTGCGCCCGCACCCTGGCCTTGCAGTGCGCCATGAAGGACCCTCAGAACTGCGCCTTGCCCGCCCTGACCCTTTGCGAGAAGAACCACGCGGCCTTCGAGGCGGCCTACCAGATCGTGCTGGACGCGGCAGCCGGCGGCCTGGGCCATGCTCACCTCTTCACGGTGGCACGTTATATGGAGCACCGTGGCCTGCCACTGCGGGCCTACAAGCTGGCAACACTGGCTCTGGCGCAGCTGAGCATCGCCTTCAACCAGGACAGCCACCCCGCCGTCAATGACGTGCTGTGGGCCTGCTCACTCAGCCATTCGCTGGGCCGGCATGAGCTCTCTGCCCTGGTCCCCCTCATCATCCGCAGCATACATTGTGCCCCCATGCTCTCTGACATCCTGCGCCGCTGGACCCTCTCGGCACCTGGCCTGGGCCCGTTGGGGGCCCGCCGGGCTGCCAAGCCACTGGGCGCCGACCGGGCACCGCTCTGCCAGCTCCTGGATGCGGCAGTGGCGGCCTACATCGCCACCAGCCACTCCCGCCTCACGCACATCAGCCCACGGCACTACGGCGATTTCATTGAGTTCCTGGGCAAGGCCCGTGAGACCTTCCTGCTGGCGCCCGATGGGCACCTTCAGTTTGCCCGGTTCTTGGAGAATCTGAAACAAACCTACAAGGGCAAGAAGAAACTTATGCTTCTGGTGCGGGAGCGCTTTGGCTGAGGGGCAGCAGGCAAGGGAGGGAGATTCCCCTTTGCCCCCACCTCCCTGACACCTGCTCTCCACTGGGGGACCTCCTGTGGCATTTCAGTATTAAGTCAGGAGATGGGAGGGGGGAGGGGGAAAGGGAGGGGGAGGAGGTGGCATCCTGCCAGGTGCGTGCCTAGGAGTGTGCGTGCGAGTGTGCAAGACTCCAGGAGCAGAAGCCATACCACCACCCAGAAGCCTGGAAGGGTGTGTGTCCTTGGGCAGCTGGTGTGACCCCGCCTTGGGCACCCCAAGAGCAATAGGCAAGCTCCCCCTCCCCAAACTTGCAAGCCTGGGTTGGGCTCTGGGAGGGGGGCTGGGAAGCAGGACTTTACAAAAACCTGTCCTCCACGTCAATGTAGCAGACCCTCCCTGAACCCCACTCTGGGTGGCCAGGGGACTTGTATTAGGGCATCTGAATCCCTTGTGCCCTCCCCTCCCCTCTACTGCTCAGGGGTCCCATTCTACCACCTACCAGGCTGCCCATCCAGGACCAATGCCTCACCCACTGAAGGATTTGAAGAGGCCTCAGGCCTCAGCCGCATACCTCACCCCCTGTCCCCCTGTCTGGCCAGGACCCCCACTCCTTTGGGCACCAGGGTCCCACGGTGAGCTGAGGGGTGGGATCATTTCTGCCCCTCCCCCCACCTGCTAGTCACTGGACATACAACTCAGGAACCGAGCAAGGCTCGTACTGCCCTCCAAACCTGGTGTCTGGGGAGACAGGCTCAAGCGAGCCGGGAACCCCACCCTGATCTAGAAAGGAGAGAGGCCTGTATCTTGACATTTTCTGGCTGGCTGTCTCTCCCTTTCTCCTCCTGTGTCTCCCTACTTCACCCCTTCGTCTTACTGTCAGTTTCTGTATTTCTGGCCATTTACTTGCCTTTCTATCTGTGTGTCTCTTAAATCCCAGCTGCTGTCCCTCTTTGGCCTCCCCTCTCCTCCCCTGCCTTAGCCCAGGGAGGAGACGAGAGAGTGTCTCACCCCCAGTCACCCCCCCACCTGTCTTCTCCCCTGTTGTATATTAAGGACAAAAGATCATGTCATTTTGTAACTTTTTTTCTATTTATTGAACCATATATTGTATTTCCTTTTTTTTTAAAGACTGAACACAGCTGCTTTTTCTTCTTAATTTTATTTTGAGACTGGGGTACGTCTCCCTTCCCTCCCCCACCCCCTATCCTTCACCCCTCACCAGGAGCCAGGGCTACCTCCCCTCACCCCGTTCCAAACCTCTGGCCTTTTTTCTGGTCATAGCTTCAAGCGAGGGGTGGAATGGGAGGGATCGCTTGTTTCATCCAGTGATGATCGTAATAGCAAACAGGGTTGGAGAGTGTTCATCACGAGCAAGCACTGTGTCGAGTGCTTCACAGCTGTCGTCTAATCATCACAACAGCCCAGTCGGTAGGATGATCATTCCCACTTTACAAATGAGGAAACTGAGGCTCTACAGCTAGGGATAGGCACCCAGCTAGGAAGCAAGGGAGCTTGATTTAGTATCGGTAGGATGATCATTCCCACTTTACAAATGAGAAAACTGAGGCTCTACAGCTAGGGATAGGCACCCAGCTAGGAAGCAAGGGAGCTTGATTTAGTACCCTTCTGAGGCCACTGACCCTGGGCCACCCCAGGCTGCGTGGCCCATGCGCTGCTGGCGATGGCCACTAGGGGGTTTCCTGGCCCCAGTCACCTGCTATTGGGGGTACTTGTCTCCAAATTGCTGAGCATGACAGGCTGTGCCAGGTGCTGGGTGCAGCTGGATGGGGAACACACCCCGCCTAAAGGCGGGAACCCGGGGCTTAGACTAAGCTCTTGTAGGCGGGGCTCTGACCGCAGGGTGGGCGTGGCCCAGGCGTTGACGCGCAGCGGGGGCGTGGCCAGGGAGTATTTGGGCTCCTACACCGCAGATGAGGCTCCCAGTCCCCACTAGTGAGAGATCTGGGGGACAGCGGGAAGGCTCTTGGCCGTCTTCCTTCCCTGAGTCTCAAAGAAGCAGCTCCCTCGGGGCCTTCCTGCCTTTAGAGACTGACGGACAAATGGACAGTGTGTCTGGGTCACTGTCAGGGCCGGGGCAGGCGAGGACACAGGCTTCCTGTAGGGGCGGGGCTCGCCGGTAGTGGAAAAGCGCGATCGAGGGCGAGGCTCCGGCGGCGCTGGGCACCGCGATTGGCTCGTGGCACCTCCCTCCGCTCGAGGGGACCAATGGGAGGCGGCCCCACCTCCTGCCCCGCCGCGCGTGTTCCCGCAGGTATGTGCGGACGGATCCGGGGCTGGGGGCGCGCTCCTTGGCGCCGCCTGGAGGCTTGGGAAGGGCTGGTTGCGCACCTCTGTGGTCCCTGCTGCCTATACATGTCGTCCTCGGACCTGGGGCACCCCTTCCTGTGCCCCTCAGCTGCCAGCCACCCACAGATGTTCCCTATGGACCTGGGGCACCACTCAGGTCCCAGTCACACCTAAATGTCCTCTCTTGGGCACAGGGTTTCCTTCATGACACATATCTTAAGCCCAAGTTCCCCTCCAGTATTCTCATATATCAGGCACCCCAAATCTTTCCTCCAGGCCTGAGTTATCCCTTAGTTCCCACTTGCCCCCAAATGTCCCTAGCTCAAGACCTCAGGCCCAGCGTTTCCCTCAAGGTCACCCCAGCACCACCTCAGGCAAGGGTTCATCCTCCCTCGAGCAGGGTCCTTCCCCTCCTTGGCCCTGGTGGATGGGGCATCCTTCATTGTGACTCTATCTACATCCCTTCCAGAACCACCCTCTATCACATTACTGAAAGTCAGTCCCTCCAGTCCAGGGTTTCCCTCAGGGTCACCCCACAACTCCAAGACATCCCTCAAGTTCACCTTTCCAAGCCCAGGGCACCCTCTCCATCTGTGTGACTAAATTGCCACCTTCCTAAGGAACAGGTGGGGCAGGGGTGGGGAGCTGGGACAGCAGATTCAGGCCAATCAAAAGCTGGAACTCCAGGGATGAGAGGCAGGAATGAATCACAGAACACCACCAGACCCACAGGAATGAAGCCAGGGCAAGTTTTATTTAATTGGACAACAGATGTGACACACAGCACAAACTCTGCCCCTCCTTCCCATCCCAAACTTCTGTCTGCCCCTACCCAGGGTGGGGAAAAGGGGACACTGGGCGAGCTCCAATGGCCTGGGGGGCTTTAGTCTCAGTCCCACCTCTTAAAAAGCCCCCATCCCATCTGATGTCGGGACAGTGGACAGTCTTAACTCTTCTATGCCCTGAGACCACCCAATGGAGGATTGGCTGCTGCCAGGGCCCCAGGACTGAGCAGGCCTGCTTGTGTCCTCCTTTCTAGGCCCAAATGCACCTTGTTCCCTGTCCCACATGTGGGGCGGGTGTCACTCATCCACCCTCTGAATTAGGAAGCTGCAGGGCCCAGAGAGAAAGGGCCAGGCCAGACTAGCCTGATTCCGGAAGCCCAGAGTTGGCATTTAACGGTCTGGAGGGCCAAGGCGGCTTCCTCTTGGGTAACTGGCTGCTGGAAAGATGCAGCCAGGCCCGTGCCCCTGCCAGGATTGGGAGAGGAGGGGCTGAGGCTCTAGGCCCAAGGGGGACATAGCTGACTTCTCTTTTTATGGAAGGGCTGCCCACCCCCCCACCTATCCACCTTGGGACTACAGCCCAGCCCCAGGTGTGGCTGTGGCGTGGTCCCCAAGTGCACAGTTGGGGGAAGGGGCCTGCAGCAGACAACTGGGCCCAGCCAGACCCACCCCCACCATCCCTCCCTATGTCCCTCCTCCACACACAGGTTTGAGTCTGGGTCTTTGTCTCCTCCAGGCATTGGCCCATCCAGGGAAGGCAGGGGCTGCAGGCTCCAAGGAGGCTTGACTCCTGTTCCTGCTGAACTGAGCCAGTCTGCACAAATCAACTGTGTTTCAGCTCAGTAGGCACGGGAGGCAGAGCCCAGGGAGGCCTGAGCAGCGGGACAGGCAGGTGGTGGCAGGAGAGGCGGCAGGGCCGAGGAGGTGGGGGCCCAGGGGGCGGAACTTAGCCACTGTGAACACGACTTGGTGTGGACCCTGCTCACAAGCAGCTAAGCCCTGCTCCTCAGGCCATGCACAGGTGGCACGGCCTCTCGGCCACCCCATCCCTGGGTGGCATCCTCGGTGACAGCGGTGGCCCCAGAGGCAGAGCTCAGGGTCGGTTGGAAATCCCTGGCAATGTGATTTGTGACAGGCAGCAAATCCCATCCCCAGGAACCCCAGCCGGCCATGGCACAGGGGTGGGGGGGCAGCAGGCGGGGCCAGAGGCTGGCACCTAGAGGGGAGAAAGAGAGAAAGCAAAGGAGGTAATGAGGTTTGGGGATACCTCCCTTCCAGGTCCCCACCTGCTTCCTTCTGAGATTTTGCAGAAAAGCCCTCAATCCATATGCAGTAGCGACTACAGGAGGGCTGGATCACTGGCCCCTAGATGTGCCCTTGGTCCTACCCCAGAGAGGTAGAGATGCCCAGAGAGCCCATTTAGGTCAAGGAGGCTGCAGGAACTTCCAGAGCCAAGATCCCCCCTCTCGCCCCCCCCGCCCCGCTCCCCCCACCACTGAGCCCTGGGCAAGCCAAATGGGGCCATGGGGAGAGGAAGCAGAGGGGGGGCGGCAGGCGGGTAAGGAAGTGATCTCACCCCAGCTGGCGCCACTTCCTAGAAGCCTGAAGGGCAGGAGGAAACCACCAGGGCCTCCCCCCCAAGGCCCAGTCTCCTTGGTGGCCAGCCCTCAGCCCGCACCCCACCAGAGCGGGTACCAGCAGCAAGCACCCTGCTCTCTTCCTGGGCACGCACCCCCCCACACCCAGAGCACAGGACCCAGGCTGGAAGATGCAAAGCTCTCCATCCAAACAGCCTGAGGTTCAAGTGTCTGCTCCGCAGTTTCCCAAATGCCCTCCAAGCCTCAGTTTCCCCACCTGTAAAATGGAGCCAAAAGCCTCTACCATGTAGCCCAGTCAGATTTCACCAAC